CTTTCACATTCACTTTGAAAAAAATCAAGATCCTCCAATTCTTCTTAGTCATGCTTAAGCTAATGAAGCTACTGTATTTGCTGTATATTGAGTTGTCTGAATGATTCCTTGGAGGTTAAAGAACTTATGTCAGAAATGACTGGCACTATCAGCCCTCACAATCCTACACATTGCTGCATGGTCTGTTGGGCAATATTTCACTGTGAGGTCCACGCCAGTGTGGGTGCACAGTGGACACAAAGGGGGCGCTCTTGAGCATCTCTCTAAAACCTACAGTACAATGGCAAATAAGACTCATTATGGTCTCAAGGACTTGACAGATTTTTAAAGTAAAATATGCACAAACCCAAAGAGAAGTAATTTCGATTGAGTTCCTATTTATTTTTATAGCACATATGACAATAAATATTGTTCCAAAACAGCTTTACAGAGAATTTTACCAGTGAGCAAGATGGGAGAAGCTCCACAGAAAAATACTAGACAAATTATAGTTAAAAAGTATGCAGGATAGGAACGCTTATTTTATTATTTTTTATTTCATTTTATTTTATTTAGAAGTATGTTTTTTTTTTTTTCTGTTAAAATATGGTTGTCAGTAAAATAATCATAATTACTCGTTATTACATTATTGTCATAACATCATTACTGATCATTTCTGACTAGTCTTTAGAAAGCAAAATGAAATACTAATGAAACTCTCTCTCTCTCTCTCTCTCTCTCTCTCTCTTTCTTTCTCAGGAATTTCCCTATTTTAAATTACCAATACATATTTTATAAAGGTAAATAATTATTAGAAATGAGAAATTATTAGAAATTATTAATGTACTGACTTAATATATTTACTTTTGGTAAAGAGTCAATCTTCTGATAGAGAGTCTCCAATCCCAAATAGCTATATATTTGTTTATATATATAAAAAAAAAAGAAGAAAAAAAGAAATCTGAATTGTATATAATTGATGTAATTTTAATGAGCTTGTTTATTTCCCTTAAATTCAACAAGCCATCAGAAACCCATCTGTTACGTTGTTTCACAATGTCCTTTGGCTACAAACAAGCTTTTCCAGAATTTCCCCAACTCTTTCTTTCTTTTCTTTCTCCCTCTCTTCTTACAATCAGAACCAGAGGAAGTGTTTTCTTAGTAGGTCCATTGAGATTTGAGCTGACGTCAGTCGTCATGCTTCCTCTTTATTGGAAATGCTATAGTTTATCCTTCCACTGCTTGACTAAGCATTGAGACACGCATGAATTCAGGAAGGGCATAGATGAAGGAATGAGAGAAAGAGTGAGAAAGGAAAAATGACACATGTAAGCACATGCTCTCAACTAATTCTCAGTGCGCATCAGGAAGACAGACACACAGCTGTTACCACACACACCACATCCGACAGCTCACACACATACGCACAGCGCACAGCCATGATGACATTAACACCCTCAAATGACCAGAAGACATGATTTGATATTTGTGATCTGCAGTAACCTCAAATGACACATATGCAAACACAGTTTGTGGCCGCAAAACCCAACCTCTCGGTACGCTGATACTTTTTCTTATAACACCACACCTACACTTGTCCTTAAGTGATGCAAGTCAAGTTCACACACAAATAGTTGTGCCGAGAAACGATCATTAAAAGTTGTATAACTGAAGAAAACAAAACAAAAAAAACGTACACATAGGAAATTAATTTACAAATATTTTAAAATTATGCTCATTTACATATATAATATAATATAATATAATATAATATAATAATTTTTGACTGCAGTCAAATCTAGGCCTAGAAATGCAATTTAAATCTACATAAGATGTGTCATGGTGACTGTCATGTTGAGATCACTTGACCGGCTGAATACATATTCGTATTTTTGGTAAATGTAACTGCATGGTTAATGCACATTATTTCATTTATCCATTAGTTTTGTTTGTTTATGCATGTGTAATGGCAGCTTATTAGCTGAAATCTGCCCCCTTTTGTCTGTAATTGGATGACCTCATGGTATGTGGGCAACTGCAGCATGGCCCATATGTCCGCATCTTTCCTGGACCGTTGCCTCCTTTTTCCGAATCTGCTAGGGCCGTCGGCGCTTGTGCGTCTGTCTGTGTTGTGCACGTCTCGAAGGAAGAGAGAGGGAAAAACCCTTCTTACGCACATGTGGTCAGACACCTCACTGGTCCTGTCAAACATGCTTTGCCTCATAATGACAGATTTCAGACCCAAGACGTGTATGCATATCACCTTTACAGAGCGGTGTATGGATAGAAATGAAAGGAGGAAGAAATGTGAATAAAATTTCAAGAACACTTAAACGATATACCATAACTATACTTTGCAATAACAAATGAAGTTAACTAAACCTTAATTGTTACTATCTATCTATCTATCTATCCATCCGTCATCTATCTATCTATCTATCTATCTGTCTGTCTGTCTGTCTGTCTGTCTGTCTGTCTGTCTGTCCGTCCATCCGTCCGTCCGTATGTCCATCCATCCATCCATCCATCCGTCCATCCGTCTGTCCGTCCGTCCGTTTGTGTACTAATGTACTAATTCAAGTATTTCATGTAAATATTCTCAAAAGCTAAATCTGGATTTAACATTGGGACCTGAGTCTTATCTAGAGACGGGAATGTTAGAGACTTGAAGGTGGTCTCTTGACTTGGGTCAGTAAGCAACCACCTAGCGACCACCCAGAACACCCTAGCAACCGGATACCAACGCACTACAAACCACACAGAACACCGCATACCAGTGCTCTGGCACCCACACGCGCACCCTAGCATTATGGCAGTTTTTCATGGGCAGGCGCTATTCACATTTTCTTCAGAAATATAAAAATGTGGTTATGCTTAGCTCCACTCGTTTAGGTATAAATCTGGTTTGGTCCAGTTTTGTGAGAATGTAAATCTTGTTCAGAAAATCCACTTTCCAGCTTTTCGACATTGCCTTGGTGTTGTAGTCTACAGGTACCTCTCCATACGCTTAAAAAAAGAGAAAAAAAGAATTACCCACACCAAAGAGCTTTTTCTCCTGGTGTTCGGAGAGCAAATATGCTTGTGTGGCTTTGAACGTGTGGAGATTAAAGAGAAGTGCCGTCATTCGACAGAGCCCTGCTAAAGTTCTGCTGCTGTGTTGTTCTGCAACTAGGAGACCCACCACAGCAAAGTCAGACATGCACAAGGGCTCGTCTGTGTCCCAAAGCCACAGGGCACCGATTCACCAAACTCCCCCGTTTCTGTAAACACATCTATGCTTCAACAAGACCCACACACACAGCTCACGTCTATGCTTCATACATTTCTGTGGCGTGCAAGGAATGATGCAGACCCATTTACGTACATCTTGACATTAATTCAAGCGCATGATAAAACGTGATGGTGTGTCATTTGTATGTATGTAAATGTGCTTTTTGTTGCTTTTGTTTCTTTTGTTGTTTTTTCGGTTGAACAGTATAGCCTTTTCAGCTTTTTTAATATATCTCATTATATTTAAAATATATTTTTTTGAAATAGATTTAGAATGTTTAATATAAAAACCTAAATATTGTAAAAATCTAATTAAAAATGGAAAAAAATGAATACAAAGTAGAATATTTCTTTTTTCTTCTTTTTTTTCAAAAAAACATTTCATTATTATTATTTTATATATATATATATATATATGCACCAGTATAACAACAAACAGCAATATTTCCCAAATACACTAGCATTCAAAAGTTTTATAGTTTTAGAAAGAAGTTGACCAAATCTGCATTTACTTGAACAGAAATGCAGTAAAACAGTATTATTGTGAAATATTAATAAAATGTAATAGCTCTATTTTGATATATTTTAAAATGTAATTAATTCTTATGATGACAAAGCTGAATTTTCAGCAAGTGACATTTCAAGTAACATTTATTATTATCAATGTTGAAAACAGCTATGCAGCTTATTTTTTACTTTTATTTTATTTATTTATACTTTTTTAGTATTTCTTTGATGAATAGTTATAGTTTAGTAATAGTTTTGTAAAAGTTGTATGTCAGTTTTGATCAATTGAATGCTTGCTGAATAAAAATATTAATTTCTTCAAAATAAAATTCTACTGACCCCAGACTTATAAACGGTAGCGTAAGTTTTATGAAAATTTTTAAATACATGCAAAATACAAAAATGCCATGCAGGGCAAAAGTACAATGAGCATTTTTTTTAGTTATGCAAATGAATCTGATTCACAGAAATCAAATTTACTAAAGCTTGAAATAAAGATGCTAATAAAATTTCTTCCAGAAAATCGCCTTTAGGAAACCTAATGATCTCCTAAATAAAATATACAAATAAATTAAATCATCAAGATGTAGCTTAATTTTATATTGCCAGTGAAATCACTGTGAATATACAGTGAATATCTGTGTCTTAAAATGTGCATGCAGTTTTAATTTAATGCATTTTTGCAAGATAAAGTGTTTTTCACAACAAGAAAGTATGTGTGTGTGTGTGTGTGTGTGTTTACGTACAAGTTTATACAGCGAGCTTTGCAGAGTACCCCCCTTTGTCTCCTCTCTATTGACATCAGAGCCTATACAAGAGCCAGAAATGATAAAAAAGGGGAAGGGACGAGAGAGAGAGAGAAAGAGAGAGATGCCAAATGGGGCAGTGAAATGAGGAAAAACAGAGCCAAGAGGCTGTAAAACCCCAGTGCAGCCAACTCTCAGACATGAGTGAGCGACACCAAGAGAGCCAGGAGGGGGTGAGAGGAAGGGGCACGAAGCCAAAGAGGCAGTATCATCTAGCCACAAGGACCGGGCCAATGAGAGGGCGCGAGCAGGGGAGGAAATCTCTCACAGTTAGCGCTCAGAAGATCCCACTCTCACTCTCTCATACAGTCTGGGAGTGTGTGTGCGTATGTGTGTGTGTGTGCAAGCCCAGGATGAAGGAGCGTCTGGCGGGCTGTGCTCGAGTGGCCGTGCAACAGGATTTTCACGGTGCCCCCGTTTCTGTGTGTTTCTGTCCAGACGAGTCCTACCAGAAGCTGGCCGTGGAGACCATGGAGGAGCTGGACTGGTGTCTGGATCAGCTGGAAACCATCCAGACGTACCGCTCCGTCAGCGACATGGCCTCCACCAAGGTGAGAAGATGCAGCACATCACTTTTAAGAGCTCCTCTGGAAGTTGTAAAAACTCTCAGAGGATGCTTGCACAGTACAGCTTGCTCAAGAACGTTTCCTGATAGTTTAGAGTCTGTTTTTGTTCGTAATGCTTCTCTCAACGGCCGCTTTGTGAATGGGGCTATTGAGAGTCGGTCCTTGTGTCAGTTAGCTTGCATTAAAAATTCATTCTGCTGTTTTCTAGCAGTCAACACGATAAGTTTGCCTCCATTTCAGATGGAATCTGTTTGAATATGCAAAATAGATTTGAAATTCTAAGCTTTATTATGATTTAGTTGTGGTGCGTTTTCCAAGGTATTTGAAGTATAAGGCTTCCTTAGAGATGCCACATCACTTTACTATCATAACAGTCTCACACATTGTCTGTATAAATGTGTTAGCAAGTCTTCCTAGCGTATTGAGCAGGTTTTAGCATGTCTCTTTTCCAGCACGTTTTTCCACACCTCTTTATGTTGCTTTGGAAATGCGGTGTGCTCTGAAATTGATTTGATTGACAGCTTGTTGGCCAATTTATATTAACAATGAGGTTTATAAAGTTAAATGTTAACTTTTTATTAGGAGATCTGTTTTTTCTAATTCTTTTTTTCTAGACTTGAATACACGTACAGCACTTTATTGCATAATCAAAGCAATATGATATACAATATAACTGAATTTGAAACACAAATAGCCTATTTCCTTATGAAACGTCTGCTGACAAGCAAACTCTGTCAGTGTTGCAGACTCATATATATATATATATATATATATATTTGAACTTGTATTGTTTATCATCCTTTTTTGTACTTTTAAATACTATGTGTTGTTTTCACATCGCTGTCAGTGTCATCTCATGTGATTCACTGCATAGCTCCACAGTGTGTGTGTGTGTGTCCTGCAGCTGTGACTCAGGTTTCCTGTCTCCTTCCTAAGCTCTAGACAGGTCCAGACTACAATGGGAGTGAGTTCTGTATGGCAGGGCAAGGCCGCACTCCCTGTTTGTTTCTTCTTCTGCTGACGTCAAACAGGCATACACTGCAGCACAGGGACTTTTACTGCAGACAATAGGGATGAATACACACTAACTCCCACATACACACTCAGAGGCTCAATCAGACAGATACATGTGCAGGAAAGGGACGTATTTTGGGATGACCCAGAATTCTCACTTTTAATAATTTTCATAATCATGAGTTTTGCCGTGTTTTCCAGTAAAAGTATCTAATCATTTTACTTTTCATGGAAATATGCATGATAATGCTTTTTATTAAGATTAAAAAAAAATTTTTTTTGAGAATTTGCATTTATTTATTTATTATGTTTTTATTATTTTTAAAAATTATTATTTTTTTGCATCTAAAGTAAAATTATCAGTCTAAGGGTGTATATATAATTTTACTGGAAAATGATGAAAATATTTTTTTTTTTCAGTGCATGCAGGCCAACAATAATATTCATGAATAAACAATACAATACATATGCAAGAAAATGGGACATTTACAAAACCTGTGACTGTGTCATGATTGACTCAAGACATGCTCATATCCTGGGAGCTTTTGTACGAGTTTGTGGAAATAACACATAAAGATAGCCATCAGACTTGTACAGAGAATACCAGGACGTCTGACCTTTTGCTGCCCTTTTGAACGCCTGTGTCGTCTGATGTGCATTATACTTAAGTTGTGTGTGCATGTAAAATCTATACAGTATCAGCTCCAGGATTTCTCTGCCAACATGTAATATGTATATTCTGTTTCAGTCAACTGGATATTCCGGTCAAGATAACAGAACTACAGACTCGCTCTTTTTGTTACAGTAAATCGACAAAGTTGTTTAAATAGATACTACCACGGCCATGAATCCCCAAATGTAGTCACTGAATTGAAAAGTTATTAGAGAAAACATGGTTTATAAAACATGAACATTTCCTTTTCACACTATTTTGAAAAAGTTAAGTCAAATTGCATCAAATGGCAAAGATTTCTTTATTATATAGTATACCATTTATGTATTTTTTTACATATTTGTATACATTTTATAGTTTCATTGTTACTCTTTCATGGCTGTTTTTTTCTCAGATGTTTCTCATGAAATTCCAATGGAGAAATAAAAATAAAATTCATGTAATATATTAATATTTGAATTATTATAATAACTCATTCTTATCAATAGAGGGGACACGTGAAATTAATAAAGTCCTCACGAGAACGATCTAAAAAGCAGGATACTTAAAAGTTTCCATTTCCTTTGGATGCAGCTTATAAACTTTCTAAATTTGAAAACTACCATTTTTGTTATTTGTAAGTGAGGACTTCCTATATCTGCATGTGCGTGGCAGTATATGTTTGCTCTGATGACTTTTAAGAGATCACATATGTATGCTTGATCTGATTGCAGACCACACTATTTACCCTATAAACTATGTTGCAATGGGGTTAGAGTTCCAGTGTATGTGTATGTGTGTGTGTGTGTGTGTGTGTGTGTGTGTGTGTGTCAGAAGGAGGCGGTCCCACGGTGAGAGGGGGAGTGTGTATACAGTGACACACTCACACACTGAAGGATAGTCGGCGCTCAGTTTAAAATTAGTCGGTAACGCTATTGCGTCTGTCAAACGTCGAAACTTAAGACTCAAGACAGCCAGAGTGACACAGATTCACAGCAAGCAGGACTTAGAAAACTTAACTCACTTAAAATGGGAGCTTGCTGCTTTGAGAGGAAAGATCAGAGAAAGATTGGAACAGTTAACTGCTGGAAAAAGGTGAGCCTCTGTTTTAAACTTTTGTAAGTTGTTAGTGGGCTGTTCATTTTTGTTGGATGTTACTTGGTGGACTTTTCAAGGACATAACTGTTGTCTAAAGTATCTTTTTGAACTTTTTATTTCTGAATTCTCATGATAAGTGTGCTTTATAGATGACAAGTGATAAAGTATCTTTTTGAACTTATTATTTCTGAATTCTCATCATAAGTGTGCTTTATAGATGAAAAGTGGATTCTTGGAAAGGTTTTTTTTTTGCGCAGTGCTTTCTTGTGTTGAAAAGTTACAATTAAGACAATGTGGATAAAACAGTGTGGTTATAACCCCTCACAACACCTCAGATGATGCCAACCCTCAGACAACATACAAAACTACCAAATTTTGCTATAAGTTTGATCGCAACATATAATCATTGCTGTTAGTGTTCACCGTCTGTTTGATTACATAACATTAACTATTACTAACTGATTTTTACCGTACATTTCTGTCATATGGACATCAACTTGAGATGGTCACCACTGATAAGCTATTACTAGCCTACATTTAATGAAGAAACTTTAATTTTCTGTAAAGCTGCTTTGCAACGATTTGCATCGTGAAAAGCACTATACAAATAAACTTGTGTGTGTGTGTGTGTTTAATTTTCTAGCTGCTTTGCAACGATTTGCATCGTGAAAAGCACTATACAAATAAACTTGTGTGTGTGTGTGTGTGTGTGTGTGTGTGTGTGAATTGAATTATAAGTTATAACTTTAGAAGAATGAGTTGTATAGTCACACATCTATAATATAAGCCAGTCAGAGCCATGTAATATTGAGTTGATGGTCTCAAGTCAAACTAGTGTTAGTTTCTGAAGTTCCTGCATATTTAGTTGGTTGTAGACTGAGATCACCAGTATAAGCTTGCATGGAAATAATTGTTGTTAAAATAGTTGTATAAATGTTCAGTTTGAGTGTTTTTATTTTTGTTTTCTGATAATCACAGAAACAGTCTTTGTCAATTTTAAACAGTTGAAGTTCCTTTCTAATCTTAATGGATTTAGATTGCCTCCTCATTGTGGATATAATTGAGACTAAAGCAGCTTAAAATGTTTTAGTCTGTAATTTAGTAACTACTTGTTATTTTACTTAGTCCATTAGATTAGAGGAAGTGAAACGTTGGGCTTGTTTTCTCAGGTTTTGTTGGTTTGGCACACAAAGCGTTGCTGATTTCTTCAGAAGCTGTTATGTCATTATTGATGTTACTGTTCTAATATACCAGAGAACTCGTTTGTCATCTCAATGTGCGTCACAGTCTTTCAAAGTCTTCTTCCAGCGATCATCATAAATCAATGGCTGTTGAGAATTTGCCGAATTTGCAATTATGTGCTTCTCAAGTGACATCATTCAGTGCAACAAAACTCCCACAATATCTGACCAAGAAACAAATGGGGGGTTTCCCACTAGATGATGTACACAAGACATTTACTGTTGTGAGATGTAGCCTAATTAAAAAAATAAAACATTAGTGTAGTGTGACATTTACATACAAGTTTGAATACAGAGAGGGGTGGAAATAAGAACACAGATCACGATTGACAATGGACAGCTGAAAAGTTAAATGTATTTTGATGATTGATTGATTGACTTGTCTGTCCTACATCAAACACGTTGATACATTAGACAAGGTCATGATGACAGTACAAATTGATTGAACAGGCCGCTGGCGAACAGTGTGAGGTGACCGCACAAATCTATCTCACTTAATATATGTGGGTTTATACCGCCCACTAGTGGAGAAAATAAAATAGCATCCAATTGCTGATTATCCTATTCTAAAGAAATGCAAAAATGAAAACTTGCATCTAGGTATATAGAAATTATTATGATATGCATATTTTCTGCCAATGGGTAGTTGACATGAAATACATTTGGGAAGTTGACGTGTCTGTTGGTGTCACAAGCTACTGTATGCTCCATATAAAACTATTTTAAAAACCAATTTGCTTATTTTTAATTACAATGTAGCTTTTATGAGGTAACGTTAACTGAGATACTGAAGGAAATGTGGAGAGAATATTTGCATTAAAATTATGACCTTGTAGGATTAGTGATGTCGAAAAGGCGAAAAAAGGAAAATGGTTGTAGGACAGGTGAATATACATTCATATCAATTTTAACTGTAAATCTTGATGTTCATTATGTGTCAACTACCCAGATATAATTTCCTAAATAAATTAGTTTTTGCCTCTAAATGCATTAAACTGTTAGCTGATAGAATCGGTTATCTTTAATCAAGTGTTTGAAGGGTTCTTTTTCTACAGAATGAAGGTCTGTCAGAATTAAATTCCCTCCATTCACCCTTTACTCTTTTCAGAGCAGAAGTCAGCGCACATCCACCCCCCTACAGCCATGTTTCTCACAGAGCTTAGAGAGAGAGACACTCACATGGATTTACTGATATGGATGAGCCGCGGAAGGCAGCGCGTCTTTGATATGTCAGAGTTGTTTACAGCTCTGACTAGACGTCTCACGCATTGCTGAGGAACCCCCACTGCAGCATAATGCAGAGATTCTCCGCTATTTTCCATCTTTCTCTTTCCCCCCTCTTTCCCTTTCTCCCTCCCACTCTCTTTTTCTCATGAAGGCGCACAAACACAGACACGCACACACATTTCACAGTTCGGAGAATCCAAAATCATTGCATGAATCCTTTTAGCTCCTCAAATCTGAGACCAACTTCTCTGCATTAAGAGACGAAAACAGGCAAATATATTTGACAAGAAAATACTATGTCTTTCTACTTCAAGATTTCATATTTAATTGAATATTACTCGCTGTTCCTTTGTAATTATTTATGAAATGTACAAGCAGCTCCTGAGTGTAAATTGTTTCAGTGTAAATCCTTTGTGTAATTACGCATCTATTGTTTTTTTGGTTAAGAAATGCACCATTTTATCCATCATAGGTGAAGATGATGAGGACAGCCTGGTCTGGTCTGCTGGTTTTAGTGGTTTTGGGTACTTTTAAGATTGTCCATTTAGGAAACCAATAGGTTGACCCGCAAAATCATCCAAACACCATCCTTATACAACAATTGGCTTATTTTTTCCTCATATTCACTAAGGGTTTTCCCTGTCATTGGACTCTGCCCGAGGTGGCTTTATCAAGGACGGCTCATCGATTTTGGCCCTTTACCTCCTCCCTGTTCTGATGAATTGGGGGTTGATTTGGCAGATGTTATTGAGACGCAGTGGTGTCCTCGTGATTCCTGGGCAGCCATCTTTGGAGGCTAGGGAGGGAGGGAAGCCTCAGCGGTAGCCCATGTCACATGACGCTGTTGCCATGGCGTTGGGATGTTGGTGTAATTGGTGTTCGGATGTAGACGGAGAGGGAGAGAGAGTCCTGGGGGGGGGTGTTGATGTCACCGAAAAATGACAAAGAGAGGCAATTATCCAAGTCTCCTCTCCCACCATACTCTATGGTAAAAATAGCACAGAACTCCATATGAAGCCTCATGTATTATGGGAATGCAATAAAGAAGGCTGACCGAGCCTGAAAGAACCCAGACTCATCTAAAGCTCCCATCTTCGCTCTTACAAGTTGTACTCGATTAGCCAAGGGCCCAAAAAGCCAAGGGCGTCCTTAAACTCTGTCCTTCTTTACGTGTCTTTTTCTTCTCGCGCTTTCCCCGCATAACAAAGCAGGGGCTCCCCCCTCCTCTGCCATCTTTATGTCAGATCATATGTGCCTGTGGAGCGTGTTGCTGGGGCTGACAGACTCGAGACCAGGGGAGAGACGCGGGAGGGAGGGGGTGAGGCAGAAGGAGAGAGAGAAAGACAGAGCGAGATGATGAGAGAGCAGGAGCGTACTGCAGCAGCGGAGCGGCACTAATCCAGCAGAGGAAGACCCCCCTCCAGCCAGATGAGCATCCCAGTGTTTTTTTTCCTCATCCCTCCCTCCCTCTGCTCCAATGTTCCTTCATCTCCTCCATAATTCATTGGCACTTCCAGACCCTCCGCTTCGCTTCCAGCTCCGGCCGTCGCTCTCTGGATCACCCTCCAGTCCAGGACGGGTGTTCCCATCCTCTGTCGGCCCCCGCTCGTATCTGCAGCCATGGACAGTCAACAGCAGAGCGATTCGGCTGAGAGCTGCCATGAAGATGGCTTGCGTCTGTTTTTTGGCAACTAATCCATACCAAGCAGAGTAGGAGAGGAGAGAAGAGGGGATTTTTCGTTTTTCCCAACCAGAAGAATCCCTTTCGTCTGCCTCTCTCTGGCTCTTTTCCTTTGTGGTATAGGAGTGCGCTGTTGTGGATTTCGGGAGCTTAAATACGATCCAAAATGCCTGAGGCCAATTACCTTCTCTCTGTATCCTGGGGTTACATTAAGGTGTGTATGGCGGCTACTAAGCTGTATTTTGGTCTGCTAATGGAGGTTGGTTTTGGTTCGGTGTTTGTTGGTGGTCTAGAGAGACACTGAGGAGGAAAACCTACAGCAAGTCTCGCTGTGTGGCATCCTTGTGCTGGAATGTCTAGGTCCGAGCTCTATTTTGAGCTGTTCTTTTCAAATTAATCTTTTGTATCTTGACTAAGATGTTGATTTGGATGTCAAAAGCACAGTTATATGGGTTGTTTTTGTGATTTATCTTTTTGTTCTAATGAAGCTCAAAAATCAGAGATGTGGCGCAGGATATGGCTGCCGTTTATGACTTATTTAATTATATATGCATTTGTTTATTTATTTCTTGCCAACATTGCGTCTTTTTGGAACCACATTGTTGCTTTGGGAACATATATTCATACATTATATGTGAAAAAAATGCTAAAGAAAAAATAACTTTAAACTTGGCAACAGTTTGAAAATTGCAGTTTACAAATGAAATCTCAACCAGTGTTTACCTTGTCTCTTGTACTGCACTTCTCTCTCATTCTTTATGAATTTGCATTTTTTTATGCTTGGTATGAGGTATTACAGATTTATCTAAAAACACTAGAAATTAATGCATTAAAATAAATGCATGAATATTTTAAAAAGGAGATTTATATATATTAGATATTAGGATATTTAGAGATAAGTTATTAGATGTTAAGATATTAAATACGATTTTTATATAATTTATACTTATTATAATATTTATTTGGTCATATTTAACATTTTGTACACCATAACACATTGCGGTATTTTATGTAAATGCATGTCTGTATAAAGGAGGTGGTTTGGGGTTTTTGACTAATGATTCTCCCTATTTATCTTTTCCAGTTCAAGAGAATGTTGAACAGGGAGCTGACGCACCTCTCTGAGATGAGCAGATCTGGCAATCAGGTGTCGGAGTTCATCTCCAACACCTTCCTAGGTAATCACACACAAATTCACTCTTACGCTAAAACACCCGCAGTCATCGCTAAACATTGGCTATATACAGTATGCGCCATTGTGGATTGAATTTGGGCTGCGTCATTTCCAGAGCTGAACTGCGGTTTAGACTCACTGATGCTGTATATCGAAAAGCTATGGAAACGAAAAAAATAAATAAATCCATTAGTTGTGAAAGTATTGTACGTTAAAAGATAAGACATGCAGTACAAAGGTTCATTTTGTTTGTGGAATGCCGTGAGATGGCATCAGACTTTCGTTTCTGCATGAGGAGAGAGATCCCCAATGCAGCAGTTGGAAAAGAGGAAGGGGAGGGTGGAAAGGAGAGAGCAGAGTTAGGGGAGGGAGGGAGAGACGGCTGGGGATGGGATCCTGCTGTAAAGCAATGCTGACGGTGGAACCCCCCAGCACGGAACATCCAGGCAAGAGAACCTGTGACTCATCCAGCTCCTGTGTTCTCATCCAGACGCCATCGCATGCCCCATCTAAACACACAAACACTCATGTACCTTGCCGCAGTGTGAGGCCCCGTTTCACTGCAAAAAAAATCATTTTTTAATCGGTATTTAGGTCTCGTTTACTAATAAAATTTGTAAACATTTTTGAAAACAAAAAATAACAATTACATTTACTTTCAGCAAATTTGTATTAAATTTTATAGAACATAATACATTAGAAGTTATTATAATTTAATTATATTATTTTTATCCATCCAAATCCATTATGGTAAAAAAAAAATTTTTTTGCATGATAATATAGATTTAAAAATGTTTTTGCAGTGTAAATTTGAAAATTTGATGTCAAAATCTGCAAAAAATATTGGTGTCCATTCTGATGGTGTACAACTTTGTGTTCGGATTATTTGGGACTAAAAGTGGTTCAATTTTCCTGGGATTAAATGTTAGCTGTGTGCTGTCACGTGTGCCTGCTGTCTTTATGCCACTGCGATTTCGCTGTCTGCATCAAAACGCGTGAGTTTAGCAGAGATGAGATTAAATCTGACCCGGACATAATGTCTCTTTCCTTTTTTTTCTTTCTTTTTCTGAAATCTTGGATCTGTGCACTCAGTCTGTACATGTGGCTTGCCTTTGGTTGTTTGCTTTTTTTATATAAGAAGGAGACATGAAGTGACATGTGACACAAAGTATCCTGCAAGGAACGAGGCGGAGAGGCGAAAAGAAAAAAGAGCTCTGATGGATGTTTGTGAGAAAACAAGCAAAACTATAATGAGCACTGCGAATGCTCTGTGGGATCTGTTAGGAGGCATTTTCTCTTGATCAGGCATCTTTACCGTAAGAGAAGGAGCGAAAAACAGATAGAGTACTCCCTCATCCTTGTCCCTTTCCGTTCCGTCATCGTAATAGGGTGCCTCGCATTTCTTTACTCAGGATATAAGCCCATCTGAATGACTGCGGTGCTGATTACGGCACGGGTTCATGTTTAACAGAGACATATGAGTGAAGAGGATAATGACTGTAATGAATTAACCAACCCTCATATTTCACCTCCTCTCACTCCCCATCAAGCCAGCGGCTATTACCAGGTGTTATCGCAGTCTTTCAGCGACGTGCCAGAGCTTTACGGCAAGAGAGAACAACGTTATCTGCAGTAATTGAGAAACTGAAAATAAGAATTCAGTCCACTCATGGCCTGTGGCTCCTTGGGAGAATTTGGATTAGCATTTCCACATGAGGAAATCCCTAACATGAAGGTTTATGGCATTTTTGCCCCAGAGATACGCCCTTCCTCTGCCGCCATTTTTTATCAATTGATATCTCCTGAGGGTTGACCTTTGGAGATGCCATATGAAGCAGACACGGGCTCCCCTGCAGTTTGTTGACAGGTCTGTCACAGTGAAAATGGAGAGTGGAACTGGAGGAGGAGGACAGGAGGGGCAAGCCCCACTTGAATAGCTCAGTGGCAAAGTTGAATTGGGTGTCTGTTCTGCCATTCGAGGGCAACGAATCCTGAGAAGCACACGCGCTGAGTGCAGATGTGAGCTATTCAGCTGTGGCGCTGCACCTGGGCCAAAGGCGTCTGCTTACGTCACTAATGGCGCTTTTCCACTGCGTGGTACGACTCGGCTCGGTACGGCTCAGTACGGCACGGCACGGCTCGGTTTGCGTTTCCACTGCAGTTCAGTACCGCTTTACATGATACATGGCCACCGGTTTCCCAACAATGAGTTTTTGTGCGGGCATGTATGCGTTTCGTCATTGTGAAAACTGCAATAAAGAGATTGAGTAATCTGGAATGTTATCTGCCAACAACTGACACAGTTATGCATGATCTGTATAGAAAGATTTGAGGACCATCTCGGTTTCGTGGTTAACAAACGTGCGTTTTTCACATTGCCTATGGAAATTTGAGTGTAAGGTTAGTAACCACCAGGAAAGAGACCAAAATCATTCTAATCATTTGGTTTTTGCTGTTCCTCACAGACAAGCAGAATGACGTGGAGATCCCCTCGCCTACACTTAAAGCCCGCGAGAAGAAGAAAAAGCAGCAGCTGATGACTCAGATCAGTGGTGTGAAGAAAGTATCCCACGGGCCCAGCCTCAACTTCGGCATTGCTCGCTTCGGCGTCAAAACCGACAAAGAGGATTTACTGTCAAAAGTAGGTAGAAGATTGACTAATACTTTAGTGCTTTTAGGTGTGTTCAACTGAAAATTTCTGTTGATCTCATTCCCTTGTGTCTTCTCTTTCCAGGAATTAGAAGACCTGAACAAATGGGGCCTGAACATCTTTACAGTTTCAGAGTATTCTAACAACCGGCCTCTCACTTGCATTATGTACGCCATCTTCCAGGTCAGTTCTTCCTCCAGCCTTTCTTTTGATTTTGACCTTCAACATTTTGCAACAAAAACATCATAAGGTTCAAGAATGTAATAATATTGCTTCTCTCTGTAACAGGAACGAGACTTGCTTAAGACATTTAAGATCCCGGCAGATACTTTTGTGACATACATGATGACCCTTGAGGATCATTACCACCAAGATGTGGCCTATCATAACAGCCTTCACGCTGCTGATGTGGCCCAGTCAACTCACATTCTGCTGTCCACACCTGCTCTAGATGTAAGAACGCTTTTCTTCAGGTGCAATTTTCAGAGTTTTCCCTCAAAGGATTTCATATATCTCACAATTTTTTTCAATTTGTCCTTAACAGGCTGTCTTCACAGATCTTGAGATCTTGGCAGCCATTTTTGCAGCAGCTATTCATGATGTGGACCATCCTGGTGTTTCAAACCAGTTCCTCATCAATACAAGTGAGTGTTCTCAATTCCCACTCTACTATCAGTATAATGTTTATGGAGACACTTAAATTAATTGCGTGTTTGCTAATTTCTTCCAGACTCTGAGTTAGCGCTCATGTATAACGATGAGTCGGTTTTGGAGAACCACCACTTAGCTGTGGGCTTTAAACTTCTCCAAGAGGACAATTGCGACATCTTCCAGAACCTCACTAAGAAACAGAGGCAGTCACTCCGAAGGATGGTCATCAACATGGTGAGGTTCTTCACTTCCTTCCTTTCTTCCTTCCTTTTAGGCCATCTGCTTTCAGTTACATTGCAATGATTTATATGCTAACACATATTGTTTCCTGTTAATAGGTACTTGCCACAGACATGTCTAAGCACATGAGCTTACTGGCCGATCTGAAGACCATGGTAGAGACGAAGAAAGTGACAAGCTCAGGAGTTTTACTCCTGGATAACTACATAGACAGGATACAGGTACAAATCTTTCTGTTCTCCTTCCCGTTGGAAAATCCAATGATTGCATGATCTCCAGCTGAGATGATTCAGATAAATTAGAGGAACGCGATGAACTGCAGTTGTCTAAAATTGTGACGTTACTTCAGGTCTTGAGGAACATGGTTCACTGCGCCGATCTGAGCAATCCCACCAAGTCTCTAGAGTTGTACCGGCAGTGGACCGACCGCATCATGGATGAGTTCTTTCACCAGGGTGACAGAGAGAGGGAGCGTGGCATGGAGATCAGCCCCATGTGTGACAAACACACTGCCTCAGTAGAGAAATCACAGGTTAGTTACTGTCTTAGATGCAACCGTCTCATGAAGTACCATATTTGAAGTACAACATCTAACGCATTTTTTCTCTTCAGGTGGGTTTCATTGACTACATCGTCCACCCGCTTTGGGAAACCTGGGCCGACTTGGTGCATCCGGATGCCCAGGATATCCTGGACACGCTGGAGGATAATCGGAACTGGTACCAGAGCATGATCCCCCAGAGCCCTTCCCCACCCTTCTACCAGCCCGACAAAGAAGGCAACGGCGGGGGTTCAGGGCCTGACAAGTTCCAGTTTGAGCTCACGCTAGAGGAAGAGGACTCAGAAGGCACGGAAAAAGACGAACAGAGCCAGGGTGACGAGGAAGAAGATGTGGAAGAAGAAGACGACAGAGGGGAAGAAATGGAATCCACTACACACATCCAGATAGTTACCGAAGACGCCTCACCTGTCGACACATAGGACTCGGCGTCTCTTAATAGGCGGTAGCTGTTTTTTCCCTTGCGAGAGGAGCAATCCTGCAGTTGATGCTTTTGAAAAAGCCCACATGGGGTGCTTTTTTAGGCCCTCGTGGGAGGAGGATGTCTTGCCCTCCTTGCACTTACGTTTGGAGACAGTTTGGTAGGAGCTCTCAGGAAATAAATGCTGCAGACATTTTGGACCTGAACAATTGGCAGGCGACTTTGATAAACATGAAGGATTGGGGCCAACGTGGACAGTTTGTTTGTTTGTTTACCTGGTGGTGAGGAGTAGACACTACTGAGAGGATTTCTCTTTTTTTTGTACCAACACAAACTTTTTGTAAAGCTATGGGTGTGTGATGAGGTCAAACGCGAACTACTGAAGAACAAGTATTTGTAAAGAGAGAAACTGTTTACTTTTCTGTACCATTTGTCTAAAGACTGTGTGCCTTTTTACTATTGTCTTTTTAATAGGCTTTTATTTATTTAACACGTTTTAGTATAACTGTACGCTGAAATGTTTTCGTTTTCTAAAGCAAACCAGACCGAACATGCAGAATTGTTTTATATCTACGCTGGAGAGAGAATTTAGTGTCTTCCTTTGTTTGGCAATATAACTTAATAATCCAAACTTCTGACAAACGATCAGAAAACTAAGAAATGATGACAGAGGCACATTCTGTTTATTATAGCTACATTTGTGTCGGACTTTTTAAATATGAGCACAAACTCTGTTTATTTGGATCCATTTGCTTTCGACTCATCATAATTGTCTTCCTTACAGCAGTCGTTTTTCATTCTTCACATCATACCTCAGACACACAGAGTAAAAGCAGTCTAAACTAGCTTTTGTAGCTTTTTTTACACACTTTGATACAGAACATTTCCTCACTTGTCTTCTAAATAAAATATGTTATCTTTTCTCATGATTGGCTCACTTTTAAGACAGATAAAAACATTGACGTAAACTGATTTCCTTCCCCATCCCTCAGAACACCATGATATGATAAAAAAAAAAACTAAGATTTGAAACCTCTCACTTACATTTGCTCTAGTACTTCAACAATTTCCCTCGTCAGTTTTTAACATGGCAGTTTTATAATTAATCTATTGACATTAGCATTGTCGTCTCACACATTTAGTCACCGTTAACGTTTAAGTTTGTGTGTAGTTCATACTTTGAGGTACTTTAACTACCTTACACTCAAAGTCTCAACAGTGGAAACAGTTAATGGCCAAAGTAGCATGCAAATGTACGTTTGTGCGCGCACACACACACACACACACACACATATATATATATATGTATGTGTGTGTGTCTACACATTACTGTGTTTGTGTGTGCAAGCGTCCGTCAGGTCGCTTGATCACCAGCCCACGCTTTTCACAACTCCTTCCATTCACTTTGTTTATATGCGCTCAGATTGGTCCTCTACTGTTTATAACAGTGTATTTATTACCGTTAACTGTACATAAGAAATAATGTTTCTTTGTAAATGGATTAATTTATATGCACTTGCATTACCTAAAACTGGTGGTGTTTCTTGTGTAGTGGGCTCTTGGACTGAGTCTGTTTTATTTAGTAATATTGTTTATGTTTTAATATAAATAAATATATATTATATATACTATGTATGAATATATTGCACAATTTTCAACTGCCCAGAACAGTAGCCTATGAGACACGCGACCCATTGGTAACGGGGAGAGTCTGTAGATAAGACATAAATGCATACTGTAGACATCTGTCAGATATTAGAAGCTTTGTGTATCACTGTTTGGTGTAACATCGATAAATCAGTATCTCACGAGATTCTCCACAGAATGTGGCCCTCAAATATATACAACATTTTGAATGGAGATTGCTAAAAACGGCTCAGAAGTGGCCTGTAAATGCTCATTTGCAGGAGAGGAATTGGTCAGTAACGTCACAATCTCTGAACAACAATGTGAAATTGATATAATTACGAAAATGTGATCTTATGTAATTATTTGTGCTAATGTGAACTATTTTTCTGACCTTGTTAGCAGTTTTGAAATTCAAATTGTCAGTATAACTTTGTTAATCTATGTTTGAGATCTTTTGGTCCGATTTGCGTCCAAAAGGATTCAACAGAATTAGTGCTATCTGCATGAGGGATGAGTTTTTATCGTCTGGTTATCCCACATTGTTGCAGGTGAATATTCAATGTTTCACACAATGTATGGTAATAATATTGTATATTGTGTTCAATAAAATCTGAAGCTACTTTTCTATGAAGTGATTAAAGACAAAGCATGAATATACTCCATGTGTTAATCTCGTTCTTCATCGCTTTTATGTTACATGAACTCTATTTAAATCAATATCTTGTAAATTTTCACTGATTCTAGCAATATAATACAAACCAATATAACAGTAAAATAAATAAATAGATACAATAAATACAATACATTTTATTATAATGACATCATATGAGCATCTTTCAGAAATTGCCATGATTTCATACAACATTAAACAAAAGTCTGCATTTTTTTTAAATGAAATTAATTCTTTCATTAAGGATGGAAGCATATTGATCAAAATTGACAGTAAATATATTTACAATTTTACAAAAAATTATATTTCAAATAAATGCAGTTCTTTTTAACTTTCTATTACAAGAATCCCGGGGGGAAAAAAAAAGTATCACGGTTTCCGCAAAAGTATTAAGCAGCACAACTGCTTTCACTGATAGTAATAAGGAATTATTTTAAATTATATTATAAATAATTATAATATAAATAATATTTCATAATATTGCTGTGTTTACTCTTTTTTCATCAAATAAGTTCAGCCTCAGCATAAGTGACTTCTTTCAAAAATATAATATTAAAATTAAATTAAAAATATTAATTAAATTAATAAAAAATATAAATATCAGCTTCATATATTAAAGACAAATAAAAAATATATAAAGTATTATGTGAAAACAGGAATCTTAAATGAGGCCATCAGATTTGCATTTGAACCCTTTGTGTGGTCGTCTTGTTTGAAGCTGAATCCAGTGTGACAGGTCACATTGCATCCAGTGAATATCAGTCCTGTTCTGTTCCTCCAGCTAAGTCAGCCCTCAAATGACACAGTCCTGAGTGAAATCTGACACATACAGACACATTTCTCTCATGTTCAAGCACCTTGCTGTAATGCATGCAATCAACAAATGTTATGACTTTGAGTCTGTTACTGTTACTGATAAATGCAAGAGGGAGTATACTGCAGGACTTCCACGGCTATGGATAACTAAGGGTTTGGAAACATCATGCAGAGTGCACGAAGAAGCCCCTGAGAGTGTGTTAGCCTTGTAAATGAAGGCTGTAAATCAGTCTCATGATGGCTAGCCAGAAGAGTAAACAAATCTTGACCTGTATGCATTTATTCTACTACAGTATGTTTTCAACTGATTCCAGATGTTAATAGGAGAACCATAAGGTAAAATGCCTGCCATAAAAGAACCAAGTAAGGTCACATACAGACACATTTCTCTCATGTTCAAGCACCTTGCTGTAATGCATGCAATCAACAAATGTTATGACTTTGAGTCTGTTACTGTTACTGATAAATGCAAGAGGGAGTATACTGCAGGACTTCCACGGCTATGGATAACTAAGGGTTTGGAAACATCATGCAGAGTGCACGAAGAAGCCCCTGAGAGTGTGTTAGCCTTGTAAATGAAGGCTGTAAATCAGTCTCATGATGGCTAGCCAGAGCTATTTTTAACCTCCAATCAATTAGGAGAAGAGACTGGTGACAGTCTTTCTCCTTGTGAGTTGCTGCCCAGTATCAAGATGTCTAGCTCAGCCTGCTCGCCAAAATTGATTCAAAATGAAATCCATAAAACACTCAAACACGTACCGACATAAATGTGTCTGAGTGTGCATATACAAACAGACCCAAACACACACAAACGTGAGGAATATTTGGGTGGTTTAGTCACAACAATAGGTTATAAGTATTGCATATTATGTCTAAATCACTTTGTGCATGGGATCAACATGCTATCAGGGCAAATCAGTGGCTAATTCGCACGAATTTGTTTAGTTTCATTCATACGTTTTCATTTGATCTCCTTAGGGCCCATTGACAATTAGGTTTAGTAGTGGACCATAACAAACAACAAAGAAAAACCTAAATGTGAAAAACCAGCGTTTTATTTAATTTAACTGTTTATTTGCAATAACTGTTGACCAAAACAATGGATTTATATTTGCATATTAGTGTACCTGATTCATTCATTCATTCATTCATTCTGTTTAAACATTTTGTTAAACAAAAGGTTAAGACTGTGAAATCTTAACTTTTATTGTAGCGGAGCATGCTGTCATCAAAAATCTAAATGAATGTTCATCCATCCATCCATTCATTCATTCATGCATTTATTTATTTATTTACTTACTTATTTACCCTACACTGGGGCATGTGCCTATAAATACATTGAAATAAAAAATTAAATATAAAAATTAAATATAAAAATTAAATAAATAAATGAGTGACCATATATTATATATTTGGAGACCAAACCACACTTAAAATTATTATGATTATCTTTGCATTTGACTGTATAACAAGATATCAAATTGGCTGGCAGGTATTTTAAAGGAATTTTTGATTTGCATATGTCACTTGTTTTGGTATGTTGTATCTACAATCACATTTAGTCATTTTAAGTATCCAAAAATGTGTTATGCATTGAACTGTACATTGTCCGAAGAGTTAACTGCACATCGAGAATGGTACACTACATTTATCAACTCATCTGGACCACACAAGTATTGAATAATGCTCAAAGTTAACAAATAATTTTAAAATGATGCGACATATGGTGCAGTATCAGCTAGCTGTATAATTCTCTAAACAATTCTTTCCCTCCACCCACATGTCCCTGCATCCGCTCAGCTGTGTCTTCTCCGGGAAGAGAAGTGCAGTGAAGCTGGCAGACAGAGGGAGGGATGGATAAAGCAGGGAGAGGAGTAGAAGAAAGGGAAGCTGCTCTCTCCTGGGGGACAATGCTCTGCCTCAAATGAGGAACCGAAATGCTTTCTGACATTTGGTGGATGCAGCATGTGCCTGGCCTCAGCTGGCCCATAGAACGAGTGAACACACACTCACACAAACACACACAAATTAGGCCTATGCATAAAACAGCCATTTAGAAAATGCACTCATGTTTAGCCATCTTTATGCTTCATTTAGTGTGGTGGAATGTGTGCGTGATTTACATAAGACTTCTGCAGTAGTAAAAAGTGATGCAAATCTTATATGAGAACCTTAAATGTCTTACTTCCCCACAGAGAAGGCAGAGTGAGTCAGAGAGAGATCATATCATGAGTTGTGACCGTATGATATCATGTTGAATGCTAATCATCCTCTGTCTCTTCCACAAACATCAGAGTACAGGCTGCGCTAGAACACATGTCTTAGGCCTCTGATGATCTGCAGTTACTATGGCAACCTCATCATTGGACTGCATCTGTAACTCTTGCTACACCTCTGTATTAAACTTTGGAGATTTTTAAGAAATGAAAGCTCGTCTTTTCATGTAAACACAAAGGCAAAATCATTTCACATGTACATAAGGGTAGGCACGATGCCATTAGAGTGTGACTGCCATAAGAAT